GAGAGTGATTTGTTGCAGAGAAAAAAACAAAGTGCCCTCCCCCCCCCCCAGATCTGGCTTCCATTTTATTGTGAAGAATGTAATTCATGACACTACCTAAAGAGGAGGCCTCTGTAAGATCATTTACGTCTCAATAATTTAATCTTACCATTGTTCCTGACATGTAGAAAGGTAGCTTATAAGGGAAAACAGCTAGAATTTTTCTGACACGCTGATTTTCTAGGCGGGAAAATTACATTCTTATTTACCTTTTTCTTCTCTAGGGAAAGGAGGAAATGCTACATCCAGTGAATGCCTTTCCCTAGCTGTCTGAAATGGTGTAGCTCAAATGTAAGTTGACGTACCCAGTGAAAATGGTGACTTTGCCACTAGAAAAGAAGCATTCCTCGTTTCCCCTTCTCACCTTTTAATTTGGCAAGGCTGCTGGATTTCCAGGGGTGCTACTTCTTGACTTTCGTTATTTGAGTTGAGGTCTGCCTGCTTGCTGCTGTTTTGGAGTGACCAGTGTAATGCTTTGAAAAATGAATTACATAAGAACGTCAGCTGAAATGAACACACTCGTGCACAGCCGCGTTTGTGGAACATACTTGAAGAGATCCTGTTTCTGAGAGTGGCTTAATTTGGGGAGCCAACGGATGGGGCTTAGAAACTCTGCTTAATGGGACAAGTGTGTGTCTGTGTGTAATAATAGGGTAGGACTGCAGTCAGGTTTTAGACTTTTTTTTTTTGGCATAGCGCCTGTACCCTTAATTTTTTAAAAAAGAAGATCTATGAACGTATAAGAGCACCCTTCTCTATGCCAAATGATCAAGCCATGTCAGGAACATGGAGGGACCAGTGAAAGTTTTGGGATACAATTTCTGGGCTGCAAAAATCTGGACAACCATGAAAGGTTGGCAAGGGGGATTTGTCTATTGCTTGCCGCTGTCTTTTGATTGGCTGGATATTGGCACCCCAGATCCGGCAGCCCTAAGAAAGTGGGTTTTAAGAAGGTAGATAAAAGGGATGAAAATAATGCTGAACTGGGTAGGTGGAATTCTGCAAACAAGAGGCTGTAGCTACAGTCCCATGTGCCCCCCCCCAATGCCTGAGGAAGCTTGTTTGAGCTGAAGACAGTGTTGCCTCCAAGTAAACACACACAGGCTCAAGGCTATATGGCAGTAGCTAGAGGAAAGGGTGTGTGTTTGTGTATGTGTGCAAGTGAAGATAATCACACTGGGAAAAGGAGGCATGTGGTGGAAATCATTGTCTGAAGACAAATTGCCAGCCTGAGGAAAAAAGAGGGTGTGTGTTGGAGAGAGACTTTCTCGGCTGGGAAAGTGGCATTTCAGCTGCAAAGTTTCCTTTCCTGAAATGTGTTAGAGCACTGAATCTGCACCAGTTGGCTGGAAAACTTGGTTAGCTTTCAGGAGAGACCAGAAACTCTTACTCACCTGCTGCAATGTTGGGGGGCTGATCAAAGTGAGCGCAGGCAAAGCAGGGATTATGTCGGAGTTGCTGCACTTTCTTGGCTGCTCCTGAGTCTGTCTTTTAAATCTAACTGCTGTGCAACAGGACCTGTAGGGATCCTACAAGGGGGCTTAACAACATCCATAGATGGCAATCTGCTTTCTAGTTGCAGCCATAAATACTTTTATTAGGAAGTGAGGCAGACCCAGGTAGAGTGGAGCTTCTAAGGAAACCAAAAGCTGTGCCAGAGGATAGTTTGGGAATAATGATTCTGTGGAATAAAAACACCAATTACTTTAAAGCAGAAAGGTCCAGGTCATTTGCACCAGTTAAATATGCTTTTTTTTTTTCTGTCTATGGTGCTAGTACAAGTACCAATCACGTTCTCAGTTTTGTAAGTGCTGAAATGTACACAAGGCCCAGTAATCCTTGCAACCATCCCATTTATTAGTTATAGTTCTAATCAGCCCATTAACAAGGTTCTTTGGGTGGACTTCAGAGCTATTAAAAATAAAAACAATAAAAAGGTTGACATTATCTCCTTGAACACAGAGCTGAGCCTGAAAGACAAGCCTTGCTCCTAATGAACCAGGAAATCTTTAACTCAGCAATATCATTTCAAACTGCTGTGTGTGAGGACTCAGGTGACAGAGCTTTGTGTTAAACATTGCTGAGTATAGAAGATTCCCATGCGTACAGACAAGTGTTTCTAGTATAACCTTCATTCTAACCTACTTGGGCTTTTTATGTGCTAATATTTATTTTACAGAGAGGAACATGAAATCCTGGAGTCCCTGTGGTATGAAGTGGGACAGCCTAAATTGCCTTAAGGAGAACTAAGCCCAAATTTAGTGGGGGGGGTTTTCTTTTTTGCTGCATATTTCCCTCAATCCACTTTCTAGCTATACAGAGTAATCTTGGCTAGGCTCAGGCATTACATTAAGCCATGGCTTGTTTTAAGTGGCTTGGTAAATTTATTTAATAAATTTCGATGATGCCCGACTCTGTAAGGACTCTAGGTAGCTTACAGATTAAAAAAATACAAAGAAAAAACACACAACTGACTGGGTGTGCGTCATAAGTCATAATAGCCAGGATCCTGCATACCACCAAGCCATCAACTATGTTTACAAACCACAGGGGCTAGATTTATGGAACAGACAAAACCAAAGTCAAAGAAGCCATGTTCTGGCTTAGCGGGATTGATCACTGATGGCAGCGGCAATGGTGCAGTCAGAACTATTTTTTATGTACATTGAACTGTTGCGGAAGTCATCTTGACTTTTTCGACCACACCCTGCGAATCCCCACACCACTTGTGGGTCCAGAGTGATCTCTTGGCCTCACCTGCTCAAAGTCTTTAAGGCAGTGCTAAGAGGAGAGAGGGACAGAATAGTAGCCTTGAGTTCATTCCAGGAAAGACAGACAAAAATATAATAATACCCAAATATACTATGCTTTCTTGAACGATACAACCTGGGATGGCAACTTCACCATCTCTTCAAGAGGGG